GAGGGGCTTTCTGCTTGAACCATTTGGAAGAGGAAAAAGCATCTTCAGACTGTTTTCTTCTTGGTTTATTAGTTATCTCCTGCCAGAAGTGCTGGTGGAGGGGGCAGGGAGGTTGGCATCCACTGCCTTTGGCATCTTTGGGCTGAGTTTGTTTTTTGCTGCTGGCAGAATTTGGTTCCTTGGGCGCAAGCTGGTCCTGAGGCACCAGTCTACGTTTTGTTTCCAGCCATGTCATGATTTAGCCCAGCACCAAGTAGGGTTTCTGCTGAGCCACCTTTGGGCCCAAAGTCTCAGAAGGCATGGTGTTGAAGTGTTGGGCTGGCCATGACCAGAGGGCTCCCCTCTCACACACCTGCCATGGAAACCCCTTTTCCCTGAGATACATAATATGGGGACTGCTCCCTGAAAACCCCCTTTGGAAATGACTTTGTCGTCTACATATTTGGCTTCTCTTGGGGGTGGGGGTAGGTAGGACATCCCCCTGCTCCAAATTACCAAGTCCTGCTGAGATCAGACAGCTGGGCCAGACACTTGCCCTCCCTCTTGCTGGGGGTCCCTGGGTACCCAGGGTTCACTGGGTACCTCCCCAGCAAGGTGGGGACTGAGCATGTCCTAGACCAGGGACCTGCAGCCTTGCTCCTATGTCTTGGACCCCAGGGCTCTGGAGGGCCTATGGAGGATGGGCTTGGCACTGGGGGGAAAAAATGCCTCAGAGCTTCCTGTGTGTGCCAGGGAAGGTGGTGTGTGTTGGGTGGGGGCTGGGCTGGGGGCCTGAGGCTGCCACTTCCTCTCTCCCTCTGTCTTGGGGCCTGGCCACTGCCTAGGTGGATGGTCTCCCCTGGAGCCCTCCAGTGCAAACCGTGGTGTTGGTGGAGAAAGCTGGCGCCTGCCCATTCCATAGATCCTAAAGTTTACAGGTTGTGGTGCATCAGCCCAAAGTCATTGGTGTTGTTGTGTTTTAGGATTTTTTCTTAATTTTCAGATTTTTTTTTAAACAAAAGTATTTTTTTAGGTACGATAAACCCAGAAAGGGCCTGTTGGATGTGTGTGTGTGTCCTGAGCTCCCCTAGTAGAGGTGGAGCCCCACTGCTCCCCTCAGCCTGGAGATGGGAGAGGCGGAGGGAGGTTAGGAGGAAGGGAGCTGACCTGCCACCCAACCCATCTGTCCTAGCTTGGTGAGGACCTGGTCCCTTGTCCTGGGAGGGAGCCCAGGCCTGGAAGGAGGGGGCCTGGGCTACTGGGGCACTTGGGTGGGGCCAGGTGGGAGGGTCCCGGTGGGGATCGAGCTTTGAAAGCTGAGAGTCCTCTGAGCTGTGACTTGTCTGGTCCTCGCCAAGCCCCGCTGGAGGGTTGACAGACTAGCCGACACAATCACATTTACTTTGTACTCTGTGTGTATGTTTTGGTTTTCTGTGTTTTAATAAATCCTTTGGGAAAGGATTAAATCAAAGTATGTTTTCCTAAGAGTTTCACTGATTCAGGGTGGGAGGAGCTGGGAGGTGGGGAGGGGTGTTGGGTAGACCAGAGCTGGGAGTGGAGGAGGGGTATTGGGTGGGTAGATGGGAGCTGGAGTGGGGAGGGGTATGAAGTGGATGGGTGGAGCTGGGGTGGGAAGGGGTATTGGGTGGGTGGGAGCTGGGGGAGGGATGTTAGCTGATAGCTTCTTCCACTTGAGAAGATTCAGCCCCACATGGATAAGATGCACACTGGGGAGCCCCAATAAGGAGTGACTGGATGGTGCCAGCCTCTCTCACCTATGCCTCCTGACGCACACTCCACTGTATTGGAGAAATACCTGACTCCCCTGGCATCCTTGGGAACAGCAGCCTCCCAGCAAACAGCTCTGGCGGCTTGGAGGGGCAGCAGAGAATGTGTATGTTGGAGGATGACGGGAAGAGACACTTCTATTCCCCATGAGCCCCTGAGCTGAACCACCTGGGAGAGATGTGGAGTCTTCTGACCACCCTGTTCCCTAGTATCTGCCCTTCCCACAGGGTCTTTTCTCTGCTCCCCGGCACTGCCCTGGCTCAGCCCCTGGCCTGGAGCCCCATCCCCCAGCTGGGAGTCAGAGAGCAGGAGCCACGGAGACCACCGGGCTTGGGTTTATTTTGTCATTCATAAATACAGTGGCTGTGTCTCAGTCTGTGGTGCGTCTGGAAGAGCGAGGCGAACAGCAGTCTGTGCCTAATAGGGAATGCAGTTAGCGTGGGAACCACAGTCATTAAAAAAACGGGGCCAGAAAAGCTTGGTATTTACATGACTTGAAGAGAGTGGACAACAGAGCAAGCCCCTCTGTCATTCCCCAGGACCTCAGACTTGACAAGCAACAGCATTTTGGATGGGAAATAGTGGGGGATCGTGGGTCATGAGCCCCCCAACCTGGGCTCAGTTCGTATGTCAGCCCTCCTAGTGGGTGGGACCTTACTGCTTCAAGGTGGGGGTGGGAAAGTAGGGAGAGGGCTAAGGCTGCTTGGCAGCACAGGGGATCCTGGGGGCTTCCACCTTGGGTCTACCTCATAAGCAGGTATGGGAGACCTGAGAGTCCAGGGAGGGAGCAGGCCACCCCTTCAGGCCCTGCCTGTGCCTCAAAGGCAGCTGCCCAGCCAGGCTGGGTGTCCATTCTGAGGTTCTGTGCCCCCAGCACAGAGTTCCCTTCTTCATGGCCCTCGGCACCCCCACTCCCCCCTTACAGAAGTTGGGAAGGGCTCCCAGGAAGCAAAGCCCCTCCTCCCTGCAGTGGGGTAGATGAAATAAGACCTCTCAGAATAGTGACCTGGGGCACCTGGATTTCAGCCTTGGCTGAGCTGGGGGCAGAGAGGTGCCTGTCTCCCTCTGTTTGGCAAACACTTCCCCAGGCTGGCTCTGGTGCAGCTCTGGGGAAGCAGCAGCCCCCACCTCGGGCCCACTGTGGCCACTCCCCCCATCTTCATACAGTGGGCAGGGCCCAGGGGACATTAGTGTGGAAGGAGCCTAGGTGTTCTCTCGGCCAGTTGAGGGATGGGATGCTGGCTTGTCCTGGACCCAGCCATCTAGGCCTGAGTATCTAGCTGGGCCTGGGAAGGAGAGTAGCTACCACAGGGCACCCCAGCCCCAAGTGATGGTGGAAGGTGCCTGCAGACCAGGGTGCCCACTCCAGGGCCTTTCTGTTGCTGCTAGGAGGGGATCTGGTAGAAAGGATGGGGATGAGGAGGGTCTGGCTCCTAGGGCTTGGCACCAAGTGGGCAGTGGAGGAAGAGGTGCCCCTCCCCACCTCCTCACCTGGTGGCTTTCCTAGAGCCAGATTCACAGGTGTCAGCTCACCTAGCAGGGACTGGCAGGGAGGAGCCTCTAGAACAGCTGTTTCCTAAAGAGCAAAGCAGGGGCTGCTGGGCCTGCCCCAGTGCAGGGGAGGGTGAGGCACCCAGGGTGCCGACCACCCTGGATGCTGGCTGATGTGGGGGTTGAAAGGTGGTGAGCAAAGGGGCCTGGCACCCTGTCCCTGAAGACCTGGCAAAGGCTGCTTAGCTGCTTAGGATGCTCAGGACTAGGGGACTGGGCTCCTGGAATCTGCACACTTCTGGCCCCACCATTCCTCCTGGTTTCTCCTCAACCCCTTCCAGGTTGTGAGACCACTGCAGCTGGGGGAGAAGAAGGGGATGTCTCCCCTGTCGTCCCTCCCTTGGGGGTGGGGTGGATGGGTCTTGGGGGCAGTGCTCCCTGTTAATCTGCCCCAACCAAACCAAACCAAACTAGGTGCTATCAAATCAATTCTGGCTCATGGTGACTGTGTCAGAGCACAAGTGTGCCCCATGAAGTTTTCAAGGCTGTGAACTTTTGGAAGCAGATCACCAGGCCTTTCTTCTGAGGCATCTCTGGGGTGAGGGTTCAAGCCATCAACTTTTCAGTTAGTAGTTGAGTGTTTAACTGTTTGCACAACCCAGGGCTCTAGAAACTCTAGAGCACCCAAAGATGTGCCTTTTACCCTGCTTCTCTGAGATAGGGCCTCCATGCGGCACGTCTCCAGGGATAGGCTCCCAGGGTCTTCTCTGACACTGGTGGGCAGCTGCCAGTGGCTAGGTTTCCAAGTCCCTGGGCATGCAGCCTCGGTGGAAACCTCAGGTCCTCCCCTCACTGAAAAGGTCAAAGCATGTTCTCTCTGCAGACCTCAAGTCTACCACCCCAGAGCAGGCCAGAGCAGAGGCTGGGGGGAGCATTAGAGGAGGGTCTCCCAGGCCAGGAGGAGAGCACATCCATGCACATGGATCTCACCTGCCTCTGCCCCTGGTGCAGTCCTTCAAAGAAATGCTTGACCTTGGGCTGCTGGAGCGGGCAACTGGCAGGAAGTGTGGCCAGGCCCCTTAGAGACTGACCAGGAGCCTGCTCCACCAGTCTCTCTGGAGTGCTCTGGTCTCCCTGGTCTGGGGTTTACCAGTTGTTTCCAGGGAGGAAGCTGGGTGGGGCCGGAAACTTGAATTCAGACTCCAAACTTTTTGAGAGTCCCAAATCACAGAGCCATCTCCCCTGAGATCCCTGTCGGCAAGGGTGTGCCCTGGGGGTTAAGGATCAGCATGGCAGGGTTGGCCACTGCCTAGATGGAGGGGATGTGGCATGCAGAGCAGGTGGTGGGGGGGAAGGGGGTGGGCAGAAGAATGTGAGGTCAGGTGCAGCAGAATTGAAGACCTTGGAAGGGGGTTGGGAGAGGTCCCCAGGTGGGGAGGTCCTGTCCCCAAAGCCTAAGCCCCAGCAGAGGGGGGCACAGGAAGAGCCAGCCCTGCTTTCTTTTTACAGTCCCATTCTTCTCCTGCCCCAGTGCCAGTGGGGGGTTCCCAACCAAGGAAAGACCATCCTGCCTGCTCTGAGGGCCCAGCCAGGTCCCCTGGTCCTTGCTTAGCGAGTGTGAATACAGGGCCGTGGCTGGGAGGAAACGGGGTTTTTTTTCTTCAAGGATGAACAGAGGCCACTGAGTGTCCAGTTGGCTGGCTCCCCAGCTCCAAGTTCAAGTGGCCTCTTGGCATATTGTGTCTTTTGGGTGCAAACCACACTCTTCACTTTGCTTCAAAACAGCTTAAGCGAGCGAGCGGACCAGAGACTAGGAGGGAAAGGAGGCTGTTGGGATGGCTGGGGTGGGGGCTTCTTAGGATCGGTAGTCCTTTTTGCTGTAGGGTTTATTGCCCAAAATACTATCGATCTCGTGGATAATGGAAGACGACAATTTTGGAAGGACCTGTGTGCAAAGACAAGAACTGGTCAGAATCCCACCCAGTAGGCTGGCCAGAATTTACCTCATCACATCTGGGCTCTATCTGGAGCACAGGGAGGCCACACTGCTTTTGTGTTCCGGAAGGGTTGGGGTAGAGAGGGAGCATGGCTGGTTTATACTCTCCCCACAAACTCCAGGGTGCCTAGAGCCTTCCAGATAGGTGGTAGGGGCATCAAATGCAGATTCCAAGACCTGAAAACCTGATTTCCACACTCCCAAACTTCTTTTGCTGGACTTCCCTGCCTCAGCCAACAGCAACTTCATCCTTTGTGGTGTAGTAAATTACATAGTGTGGCTTTTCTAGCCATAGTCTTTGTAAACTCCGTGGTGGAATTTACTGTGAGCTGAGTAGCTCCTGATTGTTAAAGTTATCCACCTGGGGTATTTCTGTTGGGAGCAGCATGGAATAATTTTCGGGGAAGTTCACTGTCTCTCAGGTGTGTAGAACTCTGATGTTGGGATTGGTTGGTTTGACCACTCTGTCAGGCTCAAAAGGAGTCGTCCTAGAGGCAGAAGGAGTCTCTCTGACTGCTAGCTGAGAAAGACGTGCTGCTGAGAGAAATGTGCTCCTGAGAGACACACACTTGCTGAGAGAGAGAGTCGCGAGAGACACGCTGCTGAGACAGAGATGCAGGAGACACACATTGAGAGAGAGACGTGGGAGACACGTGCTGAGAGATGCAGGAGACACGTGCTGCTGAGAGAGAGACTGCTGGCTGCTAAGTGAGATGGCTGCCTGTGAGAGACTGAGTGCATTTCTGAACTTGAATTGTAGCCTGTTGCTTCCCTAACAAACTGCATAATCTGTGAGTTCTGTGTGGCCACTGCAGTGAATTATTGAACCCAGCAGAGAGGTGGTGGGTGCTGTGGGAGGAATGGTTGGTGTCAGGGTTAGTGAAAGGGCTAGAGGGAGGCAGCATATCTGGCCTCGCAGGAATAGGCCTTGGGCTACTGATGTCACCATCTGTCTCCCTCTTGTGGAGTTAGAGGACGTCAGAAGATATGGCCTCCTTGCCCCTTTGGCACCTTTCAAAGACAAAACCCTGGGAACCATATTTGATTCCATTCTCTCTCACCTGCATATTCAATTTGTTGGCTAATTTTATTGGCCTCACTTTCAAAAGTATCCAGGAGAACTAGATGGTGCCCAGTTACCACTGTCAACCACTCAGATCAAAATAGGAGATCCTGGATAGAGTGGGAGAAAAGTGTGGAAAAAAACTAAAAATCATAAAAAAAGAGACCAGGCTAACTGGTCTTTTAGAAACTGGTGAGATCCCCTGAGACTATGGCCTTTTGTTGTTATTGTTGTTAGGTGCCATGAAGTAGTTTCCTACTCATAGTGACCCCATGCACAGCAGAACGAAACACTGCCCAATCCCGCACCAACTCCATGATCCCTGCTATACTTGACCCCATCATCGCAGCCACCATGTCAATCCATCTTGCTGAAGGCCTTCCCCTCTTTCGTCGACCCTCCACCTTACCAAGCACGACATCCTTCTCCAGGGAATGGTCCCTTCTGACAACATGACCAAAGTAGGTGAGACGAAGTCTGGCCATTCTTGCTTCCAAGGAGCATCTCGGCTGC